TCCTTCTCCATCCTTCTTTCTTTTGTTCTAGGAATGAATTTACTTAGGCCATTAATTGTTTCATTAGCTTAATTGGGCAAGTTTCACTAAAAATAATCTTGCTAAGCCTCTAAGAAAAAGAATTTATTGAGTAATTAGAACTTAACGATTTTAGTTTAACTTAAGAACCCCATTTTAGGTTTTCTAAATCAACTAAGTGTTCAATTCTCAAATTGAAAAGGATGAATTTGAATTCCCTTCAATATTCTTCTATTTCTCATTCTTTTTGGCCATTAATTGTTTCATTAGCTTAATTGGTCAAGTTTAACTCAAACTAATCTTTTTAGCCTGTAAAAAAGAGAATTTACTGAGTAATTTTAGTTTAACGATATTAGTTTAACTTAAACACCTTATTATAGGTTTTCTAAATCAACTAAGTGTTCAATTCTCAAATCTAAAGGATGAATTAGAATTTTCTTCGATTTTCTTCCTATTTCTTATTCTTTTCTCTAACTTTCTCTTTGAGCTCTCGACAAGAAAGTTTTTCTCTAACCTTTTCCATCATTCTCTCTTTTATTCTAGGAACTAATTAGCTTAAGCCACTAATTGCTTCATTAGCTTAATTGACCAAGTTTAACTCAAACTAATCTTACTTAGCCACTAAGAAACAGAATTAACGGAGTAATTGTAGCTGAACGATATTAACTTAACCACATCATTTTAGGTTTTCTAAATCAACTAAGTGTTCAATTCTAAAATCCAAAAGGTTGAATTTGAATTCCCTTTGATTTTCTTCATATTTCTCATTCTTTTTTCTATTCTAGCTCTCAAGAAGAAAGTCTCTCTCCAACCTTTTTTGTCCTTCTCCATCCTTCTTTCTTTTGTTCTAGGAAATAGTTTACATAGGCCAATAATTGATTCATTAGCTTAATTGGACAAGTTTAACTCAAACTAATCTTGCTTAGCCTCAAAGATACAGAATTTACTGAGTAATTATGGCTCAACAATTTTAGTTTTACTTAAGCACCTCATTTTAAGTTTTCTAAATCGACTAAGTGTTCAACTCTCAAATTCAAAAGGATGAGTTTGAATTCCCTTTGATATTCTTCCTATTTCTCATTCTTTTGTCTATTCTAGCGCTCAAAAGAAAGTTCCCCTCTAAGCTTCTCCGTTCTTCTCTCTTTTGTTCTAGGAACTAATTAGCTTAGGCCACTAATAATTTCATTAGTTTAATTGGCCAAGTTTAACTCAAACTAATCCAGGTTATCCTCAAAGAAACAGAATTTATAGAGTAATTGGAGCTTAACAATGTTAACTTAAGCACCTGATTTTAGGTTTTTTAAATCAATAAAGTGTTCAATTCTCAAATCCAAAAAAATGAATTTGAATTCCCATTGATTTTCTTCATATTTCTCATTCTTTTCTTTCTTTTCTAGTTCTCAAAAAGAAAGTTTCTCTCTAACCTTCACCGTCCTTCTCCATGCTTCTCTCTTTTGTTCTAGGAACTAGTTAGCTTGGGCTATTAATTCTTTCATTAGCTTAATTGGTCAAGTTTAACTCAAACTAATCTTGCATAGCCTCAAAGAAAGAGAATTTATCGAGTAATTGTAACTAAATGATATCAGTTTGACTTAAGCACCTACTTTTAGATTTTCTAAATCAACTAAATGTTCAATTCTCAAATCCAAAATAATGAATTTGAATTCCCTTTCATTTTCTTCATATTTCTCACTCTTTTTTTTTTTTTTGGGTGAGTAAGTCATAAAATAAAGAAATAAAATTTAGAAGTTTACAAGGGCATACCCCAGGCATGCCCAACAACAAATAAAAAAATGATAACCTAACCAACATAACTAACCACTGCACCCCCTAAGAACAGGGGGGGTAGGGATGCCAGAGAACAAAAAAACAAATCGCCCAACTTTGCCCATATATCCTTTTGTCCTCAAGTAACCCCTACCATCAAAGACAGTAGATGGAAACTTGGGGTGAATATATGGGCAAAGATACAAATAAACACCACAAAGCTTATAAACACAACAGACATACTCACAAAGCAACAACCCCCAAGCCAAATAAAAAATGATAACCAACCCCACATGCCCCCAGTCTCTATTGCAGATAAACACATGAAATCCAATAAGCATCCCACTCTTCATAGCCATGACATCTTAGCCACTAACCAAAGCCATGACGGAGGAAAAAATCTACCCCACAAGAAATCCCGACAGAGTCACATGAAGCTCGCACGATTAGTCACCATATGAAACAGTCTTGGGAGTTGTAGCGAAAAAATGATAGCCCCACAACAACAAACCAATCCATAGCCAAAAATATCATGAGAGTAACCATCATATCCCCCAGTCCCTTCCTTGGTAGATCACAAGCCTCAAACCCCACGGCAGTGTGCCTTTGGCAATACGATCAATTAGGATGGGTCACATGAAGACAAGAAGCACTAGAAAACCGGTAGCTATCCTCCCGCTCATCTCCCAGTCTCTAACTCAGCTAGTCATCGGACCACTATTCCCCATAGCAGTGACTCCTCAATCACTCTTGGTGGAGATGGCTCAAAACTAACCTCATATCGAGTCATATGAGGATTACACGATCAATCAACATGAGAAAAATAACTATAAATGGTCCGCTATAATGTGACTAGACAGAAATATATGGGCTCACCAAACATATAAATATATGCAATCTGTCCAAAATTGAATGAACCCAAAAATCAAAAAGTCCAAAATGAAGTAATTACGACCCAAAACCACAATAAATCGTGGGTGAACTAATGAAAACCCATGAAGTAATATAACGTCAGGCCCACTTCAACCAACACTCAAAATTCTACAAAGCCCACAGGTGAATTCCACTAACAGTACTGATTGAGAGCTCTAGCAGAGCTGCTGTAATAGCGGCTCTACTGAGCTGATAACCATTTTTTTAAAAAAATAAAATAAAATAGAAAAAGACAAAACAAAGGATAAAAAAAAATAATTTAATGCTAATTTAAAACAACTCTTTTAAAGCTCTAAAGCAATTTCCTTCTAGGTTAAGTTTGGGTACTTTCAGAAAAGTCAAAAAGTCAAAAAGTTACTCAAAAAATTAAAAAGTTAACACTATTCATCAAAAGTCAACAATTACGGCTGCACAACTCTCAATTCAAATTTTTCCCTATCCCAATTCAAATTTTTTCCTACAAATCAATTTTTACAATTTTTTATTACACATTTTTCAATAAAAAGTCAAAAAATTAACCCAAACATCCATATTTTCAACCTCAATTTTTTAATCCAAAAAGACAAAAAACACACTTTTTTAATCTTTCAAAACTTGGCCTAAACAAAAGTTATATATAAAAATGTATATACCACTCACAACCTACCCCACGTTTGAACCAACACGTGGGGGCTTATCATGAAACAGTCACTTATAACCCTTCCCAATGTATCATCCTGATAAACGCTATGGGTAGCTACAATACACCATAGCCAGACACAGCCACCTAGCTACAGTACGCCAATTCCACGTCTATACGCAGCGAACGAAGCGTACAAACACGCTCCACTAAAAAAAGGCATGAAACCACGCTCCATCTCAAATATTCTGAAAACACTATAACCAGCAGTAGCCCATCGCCGGCTTAACACCAAAATGTAATAAAGGAACCAAAAAATGCACCAACGGCCAGAACACGGCGAGGTACAGCAAATAGACCACGACAGACAGCGAAACCCAAAAACAAAGCAACCACTGACCTTGCAACCTGTACACATCCAGCTCAAGCAACCCAAAAACCAGTGCCGGAGTAGAGAACTCCGTTGCCGAATCTGCTGGAGCATGACTAAACACCCTTAGCTCAGTCATCGACCATAGTACCACCGACAGTCGGAGCTCACTAACCCAGATTCCACACCCGTATACATCTGTCTCTCTCTAGACCTAGAGAGAGAGACAAGAAAACAAAACCCACACCAGACCACTCCAGTGGACTCTAGCGCACCCAACCCAGCATCGCCGACCACAGCTTGCCGACGACCTTGAGTAACTCACGAAACCATGGTAGTAACCCAACCCAAATAGTTGCGAAGAGAGAGAAAAGAAATGGGTTACAGTGAGAAGCTCCTCCTTCTCTCTAGAAACATTTCGTTTCTGGGGAAGGCATTCAATACTTCATTGAATTGCGAGGATCTTTATCTTTATTTTATTATGGATAAATTAACCACTGAGTGTGTTTCAGATAGATCGTTGGGGTCAAAGGTGGATTTTGGGTCAAATAGGGCAACTCCTATTGATGAAGCGTTAAATGCGAATCCTATCCAAGGGTTTGTTAACAACATTAGTGAATCTCAGAGTAAGGTTTCGATGGAGAATGTTCCTCGCCATCTGGTACATGAGAAGCAGAGGGATTCAACTTTCGAGGGTAGGGTGGATGGCCCAAATCTATTGGATCGAAGTGATGAACATCAAGACCAAGCAATGGATCTTCAGGTTATTGCAGATCGGCTACAGCGATTGAAAAATCCTGCTATAAACCCGTTGATGGCCACATCCACACCGGATCGGTGGTCAGAGATGGTGGAAGAGGAGCCACGTACTTTCCATAACATCCCAGACAGTCTGGAGATTGCGAGAAACAGAGGTACTGGTAAGACCTATGGTGAGCATCTGCTCTCTGATCCTTCGATTATTTTGGTGGATGGAAATGATGAAAGGGTGGGTGTCTCCGTAGAAGGAAAAGGGGATTGTGATACTGTAGATGGCCTGAGTACATCAGGTCCAGAGAACAATAGCGAGTATGGTCACGATGAGAAGCGTGTATTGAATCAATCATGAGAGGTGGACGTGGGGGAAGGGGTCGTGGTGGAGAACGAGCCCAGGGTAACAAATCTTGGGCTGATGTCGCTGTTCCATCATCGCGATCTGATGTCGCACACAGGTATATTCCTCCTATCATTAACGAGGGCTATGTTAGTGTTGAGTTACCTCCTAGACCTAATCCATTGGAGATATGGATTCCTCCTATCATTAACGAGGGCTATGTTAGTGTTGAGTTACCTCCTAGACCTAATCCATTGGAGATATGGGACTCTTGTATAGTAGGGCACTTCATTGATAAAGGAGTGGGTTTTAATCATATGCGTAATACTGCTTTTAGCATGTGGAAAAGTAAAGGTCTGAAGGAGGTTCAGGCGAATGGGGAAGGCTTCATGTTTTTTATCTTTGGCAGTCCTGATTGTTGTAATGCTGTTCTTGAGGGAGGGCCTTGGTATATTGGGAGTTTTAACCTTATTCTTAGAAAATGGACCAGAATGATGAAGCTTACTAAGGAAAAAGCTACTAAGTTTGGGTCAAATTTTTTAATATACCTTTTGAATACTGGGATACAGAATTGCTAGTGCCACAGGAGTCCCATTATTTATGGACCATCTCACTAAAAAGGGTAGCAGGGTGGCTTTTGCCAGAATTTGTGTGGAGATTGAGGCTAGTTCTAAGTTTCCTACTATGTACAACATTAGTTGTGGAGGAGACCATGTTGTCATTCATGTTGAATATCAAGGTTTACCAGCTAAGTGTGAACACTACTTGGTGTTTGGGCATGACACTACCAAATGTGTTAAAACCCAAGTGGAAAAACTAGTTACCCTTCACAAGGTAAATGAGAATGAGCCGGAACCAGGATGGAGTACAATAAAATCTAAGGGTAAGAGGAAGGTTGGGGAGAATGCCACTGGCTTGGAGGTTGAGTTACAACAGCTGGAAAGTGAGGGGAATGAGGAGACTTGTGTGGCTGGACAATCTGTAAACAACCAGCAGTTAGCAGAGTTAGCTGAGGTTTCAACTGGGGAGGATCAAATTAGTACTTCAAATGGTGCTGAACCCAAAGACTCTGGTGGGGAAATCTCAATTCCTAACCTGGATGGTTTAAATGACATGAGAAAGGAGCTGGCAGAAATTGTTCAAATTGCTCTCCCTAAGGAGGCAGAAATTCTTGAGAAAGTGGAAAAATGGGTTGAGTCAACTCCTGATAAAAGAAGTACATCAATTACGGATAAACCTAAGCAAGCTATTGTAACACAGGCAAATCCTTTGGCAAGGGTAGCAGCAGCCAGCGGAAGAAGAAAATGTAAGTCCTGTTTATTACTGGATGTGGGTTGAGTATCCCTTTATGTGTTAAATGACTTTTAAAATTGCATCTTGGAATGTTAGAGGGTTCAATGAACCTTCTAGGCAAAAACAAGTTAAAAGTTTTGTAGTCAAAGAAGATATTAAAGTCATGGAAATTTTGGTGACCAAAGTTAAAGCTGTGAATGAAAATAAGATTTTTTCATCTTACTTGAATAATTGGTCTTTTTTATCTAACTCTCAAACCACTAAGTTTGGGAGAATTTGTGTTTGCTGGGATCCCAATTTTTGCTCTGTTAAGCTGATGGAAAAGTCTGATCAATTTATCTTTTGTGAAATTAATGATTTGACTAAGGCTTTTGTTTTTCATGCGTGTTTTGTGTATGTTGAAAATGTTCATGCATTAAAGAAGAATCATTTTGAGTTCATGCTTAGGAAATCCCGTTTTCAGTCCAATCAGCCTATGATCTTTTTAGGCGACTTCAATGCTATTAGATATACTCATCAGGAATTTGGAGGGTCTTCCACCTGGACTCCTGAAAAGGAGGAATTTAATTCTTATATCCTTCAGTCTGAACTGGTGGACCTCTTCTATGGTTGCTGCTAATTCACTTGGTCCAATAAGAGAGAGGGTGGTGATTACATAAACACTAAAATTGACAGAGTCTTGGTTAATGAGTCTTGGCTTGACTTGTGCCAGTCATCTAGTGCTACTTTCCTTCCTTCATGCATTTCTGACCATTCTCCAGTTGTGATCACTGTCTCTAGTGATATGGTATCTTTTAAGAAGCCTTTTAAATTTTTTGATTTTTGGGCTAGTCATGAGGATTTTATCCCTGCTGTCTCTAAAGTTTGGAACTAGTACATTCAGGGGGTTCCAATGTTTAGAGTATGTCAAAAGCTTAGACTTCTTAAACCTGCTCTTAAGTTGTTGAATAAGAAGGACTTTAGTGACATATTTGTTAGAGTCTTGGCTGTTAAGTCTGCCTTGAATTCTACTCAGTGGAAGCTAGACAAAGACCCTAGTAACCTAGTTTTGCAAAATCTGGAAAGGAATCTCTATAAGCAGTATATTGATCTCAATGCTGTTGAAGAGAGTCTTGCTAAACAGAAGTCTAGGGTCCAATGGCTTGGTTTGGGGGACAGGAATAGTAATTTCTTCTTTAAATCTATCAAGGGTAACATCAATAAGGGCAAGATTTTAAATATTGAGTTGGATAATGGTTGCAGATCCTCCAAGTCTGAGGATATTCACAATGCATTTATCAACTTTTTCTCCTCCTTATTTGGAACTCCTATTGATGATCAGTACAATGGTTTTAATAGAATTGATAATCTTGTTAACTCTAAGGTTACTAAGGATCAAGCTATTCAGCTTGCTAGGCCTGTGTCTGATCAGGAGATTAAGGATGTGCTTTGGTCTCTCAAGGCCAATAAGGCCCCTAGGCCTGATGGGTATTCTGCTGGTTTTTTCAAGTGTTCTTGGGATATTGTGGGAAAGGAGGTCACCCAAGCAATTAGAACCTTTTTTGAATTTGGTAAACTTCTGTCTGAGGTTAATAGCACCATCATTGCTTTGATCCCTAAAGTTCCTAAACCTGAAAAGGTTGGGGATTATAGGCCCATTTCATGCTGCAATACTATCTACAAATGCATTGCTAAGATCATTGTTAACAGGATTAAAATTGTCCTTCCTGACCTTATTGATCCTGTCCAATCTGCCTTTGTTAAGGGTAGAAGGATATCTGATAATATTTTCTTATCATAAGAGATTTTGAGAGGCTATCATAGGAATTCCCCTATTCCTAAGTGTGCCATGAAAGTGGACATCATGAAAGCTTTTGATAGTGTGCGTTGGGAGTTCATTATTGATATTCTTAAGGCTATGGCCTTCCCTCCTATTATGATATCTTGAATCACTGCTTGCATTACCAGTCCCTCCTTCTCTATTAGTATTAATGGTAGTCTCTATGGTTACTTTAAGGGTGCTAGGGGCCTTAGACAAGGTGACCCTATGTCTTCCTACCTTTTTGTTCTTGCCATGGAGATCCTTGCTCGGATCTTTGCTGAGAAAACTAAGAACCCCTTGTTCAAGTTTCATTGGAGGTGTGAGAAAACTAAGATTGTTAATCTTTGTTTTGCGGACGACCTTATGATCTTTAGTAAAGGGGATGTATCCACTGTTAAGTTGATTATGCAAGGCCTTGATGAGTTCCAGAAGCTGTCTGGTCTCTCTCCTAGTCCTAGTAAGAGTAATATCTACTTTTCTAGTTGTAATAAGACTTTGAGAGATGAGATTTTTAAAGTTGCCAAGGTTAATGAAGGAACCCTTCCTGTCAAATATCTTGGTCTGCCCCTTATTACAACTAACTTGAAAGCATCTGACTGTCAACAACTGGTTGATAGGATCACTAACAGAGTCAAAAGCTGGACCAATAAGGCTCTTTCTTATGCAGGTAGGGCTCAATTGATCCAAACCATTCTATTCTCAATGCATGTGTATTGGTCTTCTCTTTTTATCCTTCCTAAGAAGGTTGTTAAAGAGATTGAGAATATTCCTAGAGCTTTTCTTTGGTCTGGTACTGAGCTTAAGAAGTTTGGTGCCAAAATTGCTTGGAATAGAGTTTGTGCTCCTAAAAGTGAGGGTGGTCTTGGTTTTAAATCCTTGGAGGTTCGGAATAGGGCTGCTATTGCTAAGCACATTTGGTTTTTGTTTTCTGGTGGTGAGATGTCTTTGTGGTGCCAATGGGTTAAATCATATTTACTCAAAGGCAAAATTTTTTGGAAAGTTAAGATCTCCAGGGACCCTTCTTGGGTTTGGAGGAAGATCTTGTCTCTTAGAAATGTTGTCCATCCTCTTATAGTTCATAGGATTGGGAATGGTGAGTCTACTTTCCTTTGGTATGATAATTGGCATCCTCTTGGCCCTCTTTGGGATAAGTTTGGTGATAGAATTATGTATGAGTCCTGTCTTAATAGTGAAACTAAGGTCCAGCAGATTGTTGATGGTGATCTTTGGAAGTGGCCCAATCCTAACTCTTTGGAGCTTATGGAGTTAATCTCCTCTGCTCCTAGTAATTGTAAGCCTAACTCCTCCAGTAGGGACTGTCCCTTTTGGAAGATTGATCCTGAGGGTAATTTCACAATTAGATCTGCCTGGGATCAATGGCGGCACAAATTTGATAAAGTCTCTTGGCATAAGCTTATCTGGGGTCCCCACATGATCCCTAGAGCAAGTTTCATTGCTTGGATTGCTCTCCATTGTAGGTTGAATACTGGGGATAGGTTGCAGCAGTTTGGTTTATCTTCTAATCCTACCTACCCTTTTTGTCAAGGTTCTGTTGAGAGTCACTCTCATCTCTTCTTTGACTGCATGTTTTCCTCTAGGGTTTGGAGTGCTATCGAAGCAAAATGCAATATAAGTTGGCCTAATTTCAAATGGCCTAACTCGATTGATGTTGCCATCCAGGAGACTAAGGCTAAATCTTTGAAATTTATTATTCTTAAGCTGTCTTTGTTATGCACTATCTGTCATATCTGGCTGGAAAGGAATAATAGAATTTTTAATAAGGAGTTAAAACCTGAAGAGGTGGTCATTAAAGCCATTATCCAAATGATAATAGGTAGAATGTTGTCCATTAGCAATTTGCCTAAATCAACAGGTGATAGTTGGCTTATAGCTCAGTGGAACTTACCTGAAACTGTCTTGAAGCCCCATGTGCTCAGAAATGAGAGGCGTGTGAGAGATGTGAGTTCAATAAATGAGGGTTGAGTGATAGTGAGCATAAATGAGTATTTTTCTAATTGTTTGTTCTTGTGTAACAGGTTTTGGAGCTTCTGCAGTTTCTTTGAGGGTTGAGTGCTTGTGAGACATATAAATTCCATGATATACAAACTGTTTTTTTGTAGTTTTTTGTGGGTTGAGTGTCCTCAAGCTTCATATAAGTGGTGTACTAACTTTATTAATATAATATAGTTTTATATGCAGTTAATGGAAGCTATTTCCGAGGGATGTGAGGTTCTATATTGTGGGTCGAGTGTTGAAAGCCCAGATATTGTGTGGTTTAGCCTTATATTGCAATGTTATTTGTACTACCCCCTCTTGGGTAATGCTTATTTCATTATTCATTATTGGCAGGTTGTGTTGAGGATCTTTTTTCAAGCTGCTTCAGGTTCTCGTAGTTTGGAGCTGTGGTCTGTTGTTATGTTTGGGGCCTTTGGGTTATGTGATTTGGATGCTGTGAGGATGGGTGATGAATGCACTTTGCGCCTCTCCAGTGAATTTTGGTTTGTGGTGGTGGCGGTTTCAAGTGCCAGATCCTATCATGAGCTTTGTTTTATTTTATAGTACTTATCTGTATCACTGGTTTGAGACTGAAATTCATGTAGTTTATTTTCTTTTTTTTTTGGAAATTGATGCTTACTCCTTGTAGGGCATGGGGTTTGCCCCTTGTAAATTTGTAATTTTTTGATTGTTTTTATTTGTCTTATTCACCCCCAAAAAAGCAACCCCAACCTAACGTCTGACTCGAATACAGATGCACCGTCGATGAGAAACCCATCCACAGTACACGCTTGAAGCCATGAACGACGGGCGCAGAACGGAAACCCATGCGTCATCTACATGTCACCACCCGTAGCTCATGAGATCATCAAACTCACTACACCACGCTACAACACTCACACTCACTATAGCAACGACGCTGGAGCTGAAAATAATCCGGTGACAACCACCGATAACGATAACACAGTGACAAGAAGCCACCTCCATAACCAGTGTAACCCGTCAACACAACAGCAACCACTCCAAGCAAGGATTAAGAAGCTAGCACCGGCGCTAGAAACCCAGCGACAGTACCATCCACTATCGGGGAGGGGAACCCACTAAAACCATCTTCAGCTTTCTCATTCTTTTTTCTGTACTAGCTCTCAAGAAGAAAATTTCACTCCAACCTTATCCGTCCTTCTCCATTCTTTTCTCTTTTGCTCTAGGAACTAATTTACTTAGTCCACTAATTTTTTCATTAGTTTAATTGGTCAAGTTTAACTCAAACTAATCTTGCTAAGTCTCCAAGAAAAAGAATTTACTGTGTAATTATAGCTTAGTAATTTTTGTTTAACTTAAGCTTCTCATTTTAGGTTTTCTAAATAGACTAAGTGTTCAATTCTCAAATTCAAAAGGTTGAATTTTAATTCCCTTTGATATTCTTCCAGTTTCTCATTCTTTTTTCTATTCTTTTTTTTATTTTTTTGGGTAAGGCAGTCATAAAATAAAGACAATAAAAATTTACAAATATACAAGAGGCATACTCTAGGCACGCCCAACAACAAATAAAAAACAAATATAACCAACATAAGCTACCACTGCACTATCCTAAAAAAGGGGGATAAACAAGAACAATTGAAAACAAAATAACCCAACTCTGCCTATAGATCCTTTTTGTCCTCAAGTAACCCCTATCATTAGAGATAATAGATGGGAACTTGAGGTAGATATATGGGCAAAGATACAAACAAAAAAAAAAACACCACAAAGCTAATAAACAAAACAAACACATTGACAAAACAACCACCCTCAAGCCGAAACAAAGATGATAACCAACCCCACATGTCCCCAGTCTCTGTTGTAGATAAAACATGGAATCCAGTAAGCATTCCACTCCTTACAGCCATGACATCCAAGCCACTTAACTAAAGCCATGACAGAGGATAAAATCTACCCCATGAGAAATCCCAGCAAAGTCACATGAACATAGCACGATGAATAACCATAAGCCACGGTCTAGGGAGTTGAAGTGAAAAATAATAACCCCTCAGCAACAAACCAATACACAGCCAACAAAATCATGAGATCAATCATCACATCCCCCAGTCCCTTCCTTTGTAGATCACAAGCCTCAAACCCCACGACATTGTACCCTTCACTCCATGTCAGGCTTGGCAATACGATCAATTAGGACGAATCACATGAAGACAAGAAGTGACCAGAAAATCGGTAGCTATCCTCCGGCTCATCTCTCAGTCTCTAACTCGGCTGGTTATTGAACCACTATTCCCCATAGTAGTAACTTCCCAATCACTCTTGGTGGAGATGGCTCAAAATCACCCTCATATCGAGTCACATGAGGATCACATGATCAATCATCATAAAATAATCAACTATAAATGATCCGCTGCAAAGAGACTAAACAAAAAGAATTTTCCCAAATGAACCCCATAAACAATGGGCCACTAATAGACAATCGCACAAAAAGTGACCAAAATAAAGCCCAGATCTTCACCAATATAGTGGCCCACGGACAGCAAAAATAGACCAAAATTCCCAAAAGTCTGCCTACAAATTAAAGTCCATGGATGACCCACAAACTCAATCACGCTGGATCACAAAAAAACAAGTAATAACAAGGCCCACTGAGTTGAAGCCCAAACCAATTAAATACAATGGGCCGTGTGAAAACACAAAAAATTTAGAAATCCCGTGGACCAAAACCAGCAGAATAAACACCCACTGATGAGCCCAAAACACAGAGTAAACCAAACAAGTGGAGCCCACTTACTTAGTTGAGGTCAATGCAAACCAAACTGCAGCCCATAAAGACCAACCACGTGCCTGCATGAAGCTCAACAATATGAAAATAATATTTAAATCAAAACCACAAACTAGCCCCCTATTTTTATTTTTAAACCGGCTCCAATTTAAAGTGGGAAAACTGGGGGCAAGCAAACTGATGCAACGTGAAACAGAACAACTATACGCCATAGCCGACGTACACTCCACTCGCCTGTGTCACGGCTATCATTCTCTACAATCGACGCTTGAGAAACGCCGGAGAAGAAGTACAGTAACACAGCCGGAAGTAAACCAGAACAACCTAGCAGCAACGAGCAGAATGATCGGGGAGCTAGCAACACAAATAACGAACACCCAGCAGTGGCGGCGGCAGCAAACCAGCATTGTTGAAATGCCAAACAAGTCCATGCGCTGCAACAACCAACCGAAACATCCAAAACCCTTAGCTCCGAAGCCAAAGACCAACCTAAGAAACCCGACAAAATGCCAAATCAAGCAACACCCTTGATGCGGACCAAACCGACCAGATCGGCGCTGATGGGAAGACAGCACAACGGCGAGCAGGTCAAGAACAACGTCTGTGGTTTCCAACACAACCCAGACCTAAGAGTACATGGGAGCACATCCACACACACCGGCGGTCACATAACCAGCCAGACAACTTCACAGACAACAAGTCGCATGACTATGATCTGAACTTCCCATCTTGAAGAACCCAAGTTGGATAGAACAACCATGAATAGAATAACACTCCAGCCAATATCTGAACAACATATGGCTGTAACAAATGATAAAAAAATAACTCACCAATGGGCAACAACGAAACTCCATCATTCTCTCTTACCAAACCAGACAAAGAATCTGGTAAGGAACTAACAAAGAAAACTCCATGGATAACAACGGAGGGAGCTTTCTCTCTCTAGATTCTAGAGAGAGAATCTCTCCTCTTTTTTCTATTCCAATGCTTAAGAAAAAGTTTCCCTCTAACTTTCTCCGTCTTTCTACATTCTTTTCTTTTTTGTTGTAGAAACTAATTAACTTCGGCCACTAATTGTTTCATTAGCTTAATTGGCCAAGAACTAATTATCAAACTAATCTTACTTAGCCTTAAAAAAACATAATTTACAAAGTAATTGGAACTTAACAATATTAACTTAAGTACCTCATTTTAGGTTTTCTAAGTCAATCATGTGTTCAATTCTCAAATTCAAAAAAATGAATTTGAATTATCTTTGATTTTCTTCATATTTCTCATTCATTTTTTCTTTCTAACTCTAAAGAAGAAAGTTTCCCTCTAATTTTCTCTTTCCTTTTCCATCATTCTCAATTTTGTTCTAGGAACTAATTAGCCTAGGCCATTAATTGTTTTATTAGCTTAATTGGCCAAGTTTACTCAAACTAATCTTGGATAGCCTCAAAGAAACATAATTTACTGAGTAATTGGACCTTAACGATATTAACTTAAGCACCTCATTTTAAGTTTTCTAAATTAACTAAGTGTTCAATTCTCAAATTAAAAAAAAAAAATTAAATTTGAATTCGCTTTGATTTCTTCATATTTCTTTTTTTTTTTTTTCCCCTCTTTTAGCTCTCAAAAAGAAAGTTTATCTCTAACCTTTTTTGTCCTTCTCCATCCTTCTCTCTTTTTGTTCTAGAAACTAATTAGCTTAGGCTATTAATTCTTTCATTAGCTTAATTGGCTAAGTTTAACTCAAGCTAATCTTGCATAGCTTCTAAGAAAGAAAATTTATCAAGTAATTGTAACTAAACGATATCAGTTTAACTTAAGCACCTAATTTTAGATTTTCTAAATCAACTAAGTATTCAATTCTCAAATCCAAAAGAATGAATTTAAATTCCCTTTGTTTTTCTTCATATTTCTCATTCTTTTTTCTGTACTAGCTCTTGTGGAGAAGTGGTTTGGAAATACTCTTCTGATCCTAGAGAATGCTCGTGATCCTCTTCTGGTCACCTGAAAAAGAATAAACACTCCGGTCGGGAGTACCGGAATTAGCACTCTGACGGACAAATCAGAATCCACACTCAAGAATGCTTGTATTCTAAGTTAAGCACAACAATTCTCACATACCTCTTTCTGGCTAATGTTCTTCTATTTATATCTTTTCTTTCATGGGCCTCAAGATTAGGTCCATTTCCAACTCATATTCGGCACATTTTATAATAGACCGACCTTCACTCGGCCCCTTACCTAATCGGTTATTTAGCTGAATAGGGTTGGATTTGAGCTTGTAAGCCAATTGTCGAGTGCTTCGAATCTTGACTCTCCGAGATTCAACTATCCATAATCTCTATGACTCCCTTTTCTCGGCCCCCACAATTGCCCCCTAAGCACTCCACTAACGACAGTTGGCTGTAATGTTTGGCTTTGAACTCGAAGAGTCAGAGCCGAAATTTAGCGGCTAACCGTATTCTAACGCAAATGTCTGTACACACGCTTTCCGGTTATCATTTCAACGCCTCTTCGTACATTTCTATTTATTGTGATTTAAAATTTCGACGTCTTTTTAAATGCTTACATGCTTTTAGACGCCCGTCACTGGATTGCTTTCCGAACTACCTCTGCAACTTCCTACTCTTCTCTATCTCCTTCGCCTCTTGTAAGTTCTCTCCTTCTCTGTTTTGCTTTTTGGCTTAGCATAATCCTATTGGCTGGGGGAATGGTGAAACATTTAAAAGATCTCCTCTCACCGGATCGACTTTCTGACTTCCGACACCATTTTTCCATTCCTGATGATGTCCCTCTGTCATTTGTGGCAGATGACACCCTCGATATGGAGAGGGTTGATGAAACCACGATCTTCTTCCCTCTTTTATCAATCGCAGAGGGTGGGGTCTGTTTTCCCCTTCACCCACTCCTTAGGGTGTAGACACCCCATTTTTGACCGACCT